AAATCGACGCTGCAAGGGTGCCACGCGGCATTGTCCGAGTGTTGTTTGTAGATTGTAGGAAAACAAAAAGTGCTAATGCATAAAAGAAGAGCATAAGTTGTAGGACAGAATGTGCGATAATGCTCTCAAATACAGACAGCGAATAAAACTTAATGAACCCAGAAAGGGCAAACCTTTCAACTGAATTTTTTTAACAAATGATAATGTTTTGATATAGCTATCTCTTTAAATAAAACTGACTGAGTGACTTACCGATTGATTGGTGATCACAGCCAAGGCCGTAAGAGGAGGGAAACTGTTATTTTCACCGTTGTTATCTTTTGTGATATAGGTGCATGTTAAAGCGGGATTGCGGGAACTCCACTTGCATGTGTGGAATATTCGCGAAAAACATTTGGATGAAACTTATTCTTTGCTCAAATTCATTCGATGGGTTTTCCATACATTCGTACATGCATACATTCAGACATGCATACATGCCTACACGCATACATGCATACATGTTTACTGCATAAATGTAAACATGCATACATACATGCATAAGTACATACATGCGTACGTACATACATGCATACATGTATACATGTAAATATACATACATACATGTATACATGCAAACATGCATACATGTATACATGCATACATGTACACATGCATACATGTATACATGCATACTTGCATACATACATACATGTATACATGCATACATGCATACATACATACATACATACATACATACAACATACATACATACATACATACATACATGCAGCATGCATACATACATACATACATGCATACATACACACAAAAAAAAAACACAAAAAAGCACCAAAAAAAAAAAACAAAAAAAAACACCCAAAAAAAAAACACCAAAAAAAACACAAAAAAAAACACAAAAAAAAACACCAAAAAAAAACACCAAAAAAAAAACACCAAAAAAAAACACCAAAAAAAAAAACCAAAAAAAAAAGCACCAAAAAAAAACACTACACTACTAGCCCAAGCACGAAAACTGCAGAGCCTACTAGAATTCTTGAGAATCGAGGAGGAGAGCACTTGCGTTTTATTTCAATTTGCAGCACAGCGACAATTAAGCTTTGTCTGCGTTTCGTATTAGAAACGTGCATATCCATGCATGCCTACAAAACCACACACACACGCCCACACACGCCCCCACACACACACACACATGTATTTTACCTATATTCGAAATACTATATCATTCGAAATACCTGTATTATAATTAACTTTGTTCCATATAAGCTCACAATTATGAGACTTGTATAGAATCTATACATTATTTATCTATTTATATAGAATGTATACTTTATTTGTTGCAAGTTTATATAAATAGACGGGTTATACTTACTTACAAAATCGTTTTTTAATTGATTTCAATTCAATTTGAGCTAGTTGAGGCTCACTAACAGCTGCTCACTTGGCCCATAATCAGTTGCTGTCAAGTCTTGATTGCCACTTGCGTAGCTTGAGGTCTGACGTTGAATGCACAGTTTAACTTATCATTAGGACCAATCAAAACTTTACCTGTGCGGCAATTTATGCCGTTTTATCTGTGCGAGATCAAACATAAAACTTTTAAGCTGCACACAATTGAGCTTAATATGCAAAAGTCTTGTACACACACAGACACATACATATGAAGCCCGCCGCAAAGTCGCAAAGTAAGCAGCGCATGTTTTAACTTAGACTCGAAGCTTAAGTGGCACGAAAATTACGCAGAAAAAAAAGAATGTTTATAGAACGACAGGCGAAATGTCTGTCTAATAGCAGCTTAGGCTAAACTTAAGCTCCATTTGAGACGAGGTTTTTCTTGAACGAATTTACACACACACACACACGCACACACATCCAATTGGCTTGCATTGTTGTTGTAATTAAACGACAAATCTGATTTATGTGACATTTGATAGCCAGAGCAAACGGCGCTTGACCAACGCCATGGTAAGTATTTGGCTTTTGCGAGATTTTCGGTGTCATTAGAGGGGGCGCCAGGTGGGACAGGCAGGTGTTCTGTCTGCTCATTTGTGGCAATTTGTTGTGCGCAGATTTTGTTGGCTAATAAATGTGCTGGCACCCACGCAGTTGGTCCTTATAATTTGTTTGGCTTTTGTCATCTATTTATCAAATGCGCTTATTTTTGGCAGCTTATTAGTGGCCAGGCCACTGGCTCTTAGGGATAAAGACAGCAGTTACCACAAGGTGTGGGCTAAGCTCTTGCTCAGCCAGCTGCGCTGGCTAAAGCAGGCAGAAACTCCTCCTCAAATTTATACTGGGAAAAGAAGCATATAAATAAAATCTTATAAGGCTTTAACTCAATTCTTTTGCGAGTCATCACAATTTTACAGCGAACAAGTAGTTGCGTCTCTCACCTATGCAGTGTCCTGTCGTTTGCATTGGCTCTTTTTACTGCTAAACGGTTTGGCTTGTCGTTTTTTTATTGTTGCTGGGCAGTCGTTGAGTCCTGCTGTCACGTACGCAGCGCACATTTACACGTATTTGAAATATTTTCCAAAAATTACCCAATTTTCCGTGTGTTCCCTTAAAAAGTATGTTGCTTCACAGGAACAAAAGTGGGCCTTATGGGGAGCAGGGAGTGAGGACATGCCTAATGAGCAAATTTACTTAATGCATTACAAACTTAGTTGACAAAATGGCATCGCTTGATTTTGAAACAATTATTATTTTGTTTTGTTTTATTAATAATTATCTTTCAAGATGTTTGCATTTCGTTAATAATTTGTTAGATTTTGCTCGTATCTTTCAATGAATTACGCTTAAAGATATTTACAGAGTTTCGTTTCTTGTTGCTGTAGCTTAGTTTTGTTGTTGTTAAATTCAAGTTAGATTACTTTATGGCATTGGCTTTCTTTTTTCATTTAGTATGCAGCTTTTTCTATATGTCGTATATATTCGTTCTTACGTTTTGTTTTTCATACATCTAAAGATTCGTTTTTAAATTCACAAATAATTTACACTTACAATTAGCACACATTTATGGTAATATGATTTTTTTTTTTTTGCAAATTTTTTTTTTTGATCGTATTTTGTCATTAAAATATTTTCCAGTTTAAGTTTTATAGCGATGACATTAAGTAAGTGAGACTTAAAAACAGTTTACAGTTCACAACAATGCACATTGATTTTTATGAAAGTTACACATTGATGCACTTAATGCGGCCTACGCTTAAATCTAATTGCACACACACACACACACGCACACACACTCACTCCAGGACATACACATACACATGCATACATGCTGTGCTACTTAATTAGCATTTAAATGTCTGCACATTGTTATTTTATTTATTTGAAAATTTATCTGCTTAATATTAAAATTGGCGCATTCATTTTATGTTTTGCTCTTTGTTTTTTACTTTTGACATCTTAACGCTAATTTAGTTAGCGTTTTAATTTAAGTATTTACACATAAAATGCATATATTTATGACAATTAAAACTCAAATTAAAATTCTCGCTTAACGCACATACAATTTCAATTGTTATCGGATATCAAAGTTTATATATGTGTGTTTATGTCGAAATTGTTATAATAATTATAATAGACAAAGCATTTGATATGGCGCTGCTCTCGGGCTATTTACATAAATTTATAATTGTGTTTGAATGTATTTCCACTCTCCATTAAGGCTTAATCACAATCATTTCTCTATTGTTTTCATTTTATTTTGAATTATTTTTTTTGACTTTGTAGTTGTTGCTAAATTTGTCTAACTAAACTGTTCACATTGATAGCGCTTTTTGTTTTGTTTGACAGCAAAATAACATGGAATGTTATTAGTATATTTTTTTCTTTCGTTCATCTTGTTGATTCTGAATAATAATATAAAGGTACGCTGCTGAACATACAAAAACGGACAGAGAACAGATTGAACATGGTACACTTAATTTATAAATAGTTTTCGCTCTACGGCTTTGTATATATTGTTTACATACGTACATACATACATATGTGTAATTGAATTGAGTTCTCATACATACATACACATAAAAAATTTGGCAATTTATAAATTTACGATATGTTTTTGTTAGTTTTAAGACCTTTCGACAGTCACCAGCTTTTAAATGCTACATTTGATTAGATGCATTCAAATTGTGTTTCCTTTTTTGCTTTCTTAACATTTTCTTTTCGTGTGAATATACAAATTGATCGAGTGCATTAATTATAAATAAATTACATTGAAAAACATTTAACAATATTTTTGAAAATGAATTTCTTTAGCCCAAATAAATGTATTTATATTCTTAACTATTTATTAGATCAACTGTGAATTTTTGCACTCGTGTATATTAAATTACAGTTAAATGTTTGCATTTGCTTAAAATTCCATTGAAAATTACTGTGCTCATTTAATTCATTTAGTTGTATTATTATTAATATTAGCTATAGAATGCTTAAAACTATTTTAATTTCAATACATGTGTATTTATCTTAAATATATATATATATTTTTTTGTTACGTTAAACTCGTTATTTGCCATGCCCTACATTGATTTTGTTGGATCTGTTGAGCTTTTAATTTGTTTTCATATTTTTGCAGTTTTGTTTTTTCTTTTTTTTTTTCAATTTCATTTTCTGTTTTTTTTTTTTATATGTTTAGTGCAGCGCCGCTTTATCTTATTGTGTGGAAATACTTATAAATTAATAACATACAATACACACATTAATTATTAACTATTTACAGTTTTACGAATAACTTTTTGTTTTTCATTTGAACACGCTTAACAATTTTGTTTTTTTCCCAGCTAAAAACAGGTTTGTGGCTCTACACAATGTGACGCTTATTTAAAATAGATATATATATATATACTTTTTGTTAAATTTAAATAATTTCATATGCATATAAATATGGGTTTTCTTAGACAAATTAAATTCAAGAAAGCTTTTGTTAACGACATAAATAAATTAGCAGCGTTCGTTTTTTCTCTTTTCTTTTCTTTTCTTTTCTCTTTCTTTTTGTTTTTTTTTTTTTTTTTTGGTTTTCATTTCTATTTTTTTGATTTTTATTTTCTGCGAAGCGAAGACGGAAATTCATTGGAAAAATGGGCGGGGCTGAGTGCATGGGCGGCCAGCTTAATGCAGCTACCGCGCAGTCAGCAGCATCTGTCGCCGCTGCGCGGTTGCTGCAACAGCCGCTGCTGCTGCCGCTGACGACGCGTCGCTCGCTGAGCGTCGCAGCTGGCGCAGGATCAGCTGGAGCTTTTGCTTGGCCGCGGGCAGCAACTCGAGCTGCACGCGCTTATCTTTAACTCTGACCTTATCTTTGGACGCATTACCATTAGCGAGATCAACAACAATATTTGTGACCGAACCGCGATTCAATCGGGCCCCGGCCTTGCTGTGCATGGACGCTGGCCAGGATATAATGATGCCGCCGCCGGCCAAGGTGGCGGCCGTGGCCAGCGCCAGCAACAGCAGCGCACTGGGCGCACGGGCCATTAGGAGCGAGTCCGTTTTGCTGGCTGCGTTTGATTGAATGAAAAGCGATAAGAGTTTGGTAACAAATAATTCCCGGTATGACATACCTTGCACCGGATCGGCGCGCGAGTTGCTGGCGAAGGCGCTGTCGCTTTCGCGCGACTCCAATACCGGCGCCTTCTGCGGTCGGTCGCCCTCGACAGACTCCTCGTTGCTGCGCCAGTAGAAGGTCGAAAGCGCCGCCACACACTGCAATTCAGTTGAAAGCAAACAATGAGCCATTGAACTGACCAAGAACTGGAAGAATCAACTCACCTTTAGCTTCATGTCACCGTTGCGAAAATGCTGCTGCTCCACGCGAAACTGAAGGCCCAGCACAGAGGTTTCGAGGCCCTCGCGGCCCGATACGATAGTCTCGAATTTTCGCAGCTTCTGCGGCTCGGCGGGCTCGCCGTTGACGAACCAGGACAGATTGACGGCTGGCTTGGAGCGGCCGGCGGTGCAATTGATGCGCACCCAGTCGCCAATTTGATAACGCGGACGTCCCCCAATTATTTTTGGCGGTCCCTGATCCGGCAGAGCTGCAAGAGAAGAGGCGCGACATCAAGTTGGTTAGTTGCCGCTCGTCCAGGCTAACGAAGTCAAGCTGTGCAGAATTTAATTTACGGCTAGTTGCAGGCACAGACAGGCCAGACTGGCGTAATGTCAGCCCCACCACCAGCTGCGTCTCCTGCCCGCAAACACTGCTCCAAGCGCCGAAATACCATAATAAACCAAACCCGAACCAACAACAAGAACAACAAAGTCGCCGGCGTCCAGCCGGAAATTCAATAAAAGTTCCAGCCGCTGATGCACTGACAGACTGCTGATAAAATTGCACATAAAAAAAAAAAACCAGAAGAGAAAACAAGCGAAATAAAAATAAAATTTAAATGAAGGCGAAATCCATACTTGACGCATCGCAAATGTTGATACCCTACACGGGTAGCAAAAGTTAATAGGCTGCACAACGCCTTTGTATATTTAACAGGCTTAGAGTGCTGTTATTCTAACATAGCTGATATATGTTAATTAAATGTTAACGGCTTAGCAGTTTGCCCGAAACAATTAAAGGTGTAGAAAATTGTTGTAAAGGTCTAGTTTTTCTAGTTCTAGGTCTGGTTTCGTTTCCTAGCCTTCGAATATATATTCCAATTGGTTATCTAATAAGGCCTGCCAGGACCTCAGATAGCATTCGACATAAAAAATGTGTAAAACTAATACAAAACAGTGAAGAGGGCACAGCTTCAGCCTGGTGATACTTTCTGCCAGGATGGCTGAGCTGCATGACAAAGTTCTAATACCCGCTTGAAGACTATAAATCAGTGCTGAGCAAAACTATGCGAACGGAAACGGAAATGGCTTTTTTGCCAGAGGGGGCTAACGGCATCTGTGGGCGCAGCGAGCGCTGAAAAGTGGCAGCTGGGCGCTCGGGACTCAGAGCTGTGGCATATGCGAGCAGTTGTGTTGTTGAAGCTTTTAAAAACTTTGATTGAAAGCCAAACAGGCAGCGCACAATATGGGCAACAAAAAGCCAAAACAAAGCACAACAAAAGCGCGTCCGAACAAAGACAAAGCACCAGCCCAGCACAGCCCAGCACAGCCCTGTCGAAAGTCGAAAGAGATGGCATCGAAAAGAGATGGCAAGCTGTGTACATGCCCACGCAAAAGTTTATAATTGAACAAACGAAATGTCAACGCCAGCTCAAAGCGTTCCGGCTGCATGCCTTGCTGCCACGTGTGACTCGTTGTCCGAGGCAATAAGCGTGATATCCCAACTCTGGCTGCGAGCCCGGCAAGCACTTATGTAGTATGTAGTTCCTGGCAGCCTGGCAGCCCACACTTAAAGCAACTTCCAAATGTTGTTTTGTTTGCATTTCAAGTTGGTCGCGGCGGCATCTTCAAATTGTTCTACAGCCCCCCCAGGAAATTGCTGAACAAGACAGACAGACAGTTGCAAAATTGAGTTAGATGCTGAGCTTTGGCAGGTTAACGCAGAAAGGCCGCTCAGGGGGACACAACATCGAAGTTAAGTTGAGTTTACTAAGCTTATTATAAACATGAAATCAACTGAAGCCTGTCAAATGCAGTCGAACAGTTGAGCAGCGGCAGGCAAATGAACAATTCAATTTGCCCCCAGTAAATTAACCTGCAACACGAGACAACAAAGGTTGCGAGCTGCAAATTATTGGAGATATTCAAGGTTAACTATTCTATGTAAGTTTGAATTGCTGCCCATTTGATCCGTATTCAGTTGATCAATTAAATATCAATTAGATTTGAATTAATACAACAATTTTAAGTAATAAGAACAGAGTTCTTTACACACTTCCATTCCCGAGCCACAAATCCCACATCAAGGTCACTTTCTGTGGCAAATTTTTGGAAATATACAAGGTTAACTATACTGAGTTAGCTTGAATTGCATTAATATCTCCTTCCGCATTCGGCTGATCAATTAGAAACATAATAAATACAAAAAATTCTCAATAATAGGTACACATGTTAACTAAGACTTGGACTCTGAGTTCATTACACACTTTCAATCCCAAACCACAATTCCCACATCAAGGTAACTTTCTGTGGCAAGTTGAACCGAGCCACAGCTTCATTCGCAATTTCTAATTAGAATTATAAGTTTTCGCTTGACTTTGTTGATGTCCACAGCTATTGGCAATGGCAAACTCGGTATACTTACATACAACAACCATGTCGCCGTGCTCGGTGACCGTTTGAAAGGATGGCGCCTCGCCGGATACCTCGCACCGGAAACGGCCCGCCGACTGCAGATTGACGTTGTGCAGGTTAACAATCGCGTCGCTCGAGTTGTGCAACTGCAATTAAAAATTGTTGAATGAGTAAAGCAGCAGCAGCAAAAAAAAAATAATAATATGAACAGCCAAAATGAAAACCCAGCAAGAGAAACAGGGCAAACAGAAGCGATGCTGCGAAAAGTGGCAAAAGTTGTAAGAGCAAAGGATGTCGTTGTCCGTCTTCGAGTCCGTCTCGGCCATGTCGCAGACATTGGCAGTTGGCCGTCGATGGAGCAGCCACTTTGGACGTTAATGTAACGTAATTGTTTTTGAGAAGCGGCACAAAATGCTTTTTCAATGTTTCTGCTCTTTAAGTTGTCCACATTAAGGGTCAGTCCGTGCTCGGCTGCAGAGGCCGGAACGTTAGGCAAATATTTCACTTGAACTTTAAGCCATTAAGCGGCCGGCCAGCTGCTGGCGGTTGCCAGTTTCGCAACAGGGTTTTGTTTTTTTTTTTTTGTGTTGTTTATCTGGCCAACGAAAAGTGCACTTTGTTATCTTTTATTGCGCATTTTTTTATACGTTTGTGTTCATTGTGCTCCTGCTGCTGCTGTTGTTGCCTTAACCTAATTTATAGTTTACCTAGCACACACACACACACACACACAAACAGACAAACACTCACGCACACACACTCGCACGGCCAGGTGAAGCTCACGTCTGGGCAGCCAACAGTTTTCAACTGCAATAAAACAAAACGAAAGCCAAACAGAACCCAACTACGAAACCAAACTAAAAAGTTGTTAGCCCGGCCACGTCAGTCACTTGAATCGATTATGCTAAAACAATATCCGCCGCATGGAGCTGGATATAACCATTAGCATTGGCTGCCCGCCAAACGTATCCCTTTGCTATCTCCATTTGCAACATGTTTCGCCTTTTATCTGCGGCCCAACATCAAAGCTGAGAAGACCGCCAGCAAACACGTGTGTTGGTGTGTGTGTGCCCCTCCGGCTGTTATAATGCGCATTATAGACACGTTCGGCCACGCCCAGCCCCAACAGCGAAAAGCGCAACTTGAACAATTTATTGCACTCCAAGTCAGGAACTGAACAGGATGCGTGGGAGTAGCAGGACATGCATGCCAAGCAGTTTCACTTTTTCGGGCAGACGATTAGTGCTTGGTTCGTTCTAGCCAAGCTCCACTGTACGGGTTTATGACTCTTTGTGTGTCTGCCGTGCTCACGTGCTTATCTCGAACTCAGCGAGGCGCTGGAAGTGGGAGGCCCCTCTCCAACGAGTGTGTATGCCACTATGCGTACTATTTTTGGTAATGGGTGTGCGAGTGGCAAGGGGTTGGATAACCGGGGCCTCACCTGTAACGTGCAGCGCATTTTACGTACAAAAGTTTTAGTGGCAAAAATAATGGAGCAATGGCATTTAAGTGCCCCACTTTTATTGTTCCTGTCAGTCTATTCTGCGATCATAGTTCGATTTGGGCGACTTTGCACAAGTTTTGGGCGTGGCTTGGCCTCTTTATACCAGGCTATCATTTAGTGCGTGGTAAATTTAACTTTCAAACTATTTAAAACACAACAACAGCTGCTAGTTTAGGGCTGAGGTCAGTGCCTGGAATTGTACGGCAGGCCGAACACACAAGCTTTCTGTGGCAACTGCTCTCGACTCGACGCCAAGCTGGTGCATTGTCTGCTCGTGTTGCGCTCTCTCGTCCTAGTGATAAACAGCTCTTCTGCTGCAGTTCATTTTAAGTACACGGCCGGGCCGGGCCAGACCCATAAGACACCAGGTTCTGGGGCGGCAGACCGTGACGAGGGCTGGGCTTAGTGAATTCTATTGTCTGGCTGCGCCGCAAAGCATGCAACGTTGTTTAATGTTTGGTTTCAAAGCTATGGCGCTCAACGTGTGCATCGCTTCTTGTTTTTATACCCTTGCAGAGGGTATTATAATTTTCCCGTGAACTGTGTAGCGCATAAAAGGAGACATATCCAACCGACCACATAAAGACTATATATTCTTGAGCAGTATCAACAGCCGTGGCCATCTGTCCGTCTCTCCGTCAGTCTGTTTCTATGGGAAATAGTCTCTCAGTTTTAAGGCTTTCATTTTGAAGCTTTGCAGAAGTCCCCCTTTCTGTTGCACGCAGTACTTACGACGGAACCAGCTTGATCGGACCACACGGAATAAGCACTATGAGCATTATGAAAAGGTTGGGTCTGCAAGGATATTAAATCTTCGGCTTGCCGAGAGTAGCCCTCCCGTTTGTTTACTCATTTTTGGGTTCTGGCAGGCATACTCACATCGACAGCAACACCTGGCAAACGGAACGTTTGCGCCGGCGGATTATCCCTGGGCACATAGCGATAGAACTCATTGCCATCCTTGTACCATTTGACCGAATAGAGCGCCTCGCCGTCCAGATCGTATAGGCACTCCAGCTGTGCTGTGGCGCCCTTAATCACGTAGTTCGGTATGCGCACCTCGACCAGACGCAGTCCGTCTGTGAAATCTGTAATACAACAACAAAAATGAACAATATTAAATTGGTTCGTATGTATATCCATTTACGGGGCTTTCACGCTTGCGTATGCTTTAATTTTTAATGTGAACCGCTCATGATTGATTTATGTTTAAGCAAATTGCCCGGCCGAGTGCGTGAACGGACCTGTTGTTATTGTAATGTTAATTAATTATAAAAGTTTGTTTGTGGGCCAGCATAAATGTCAACCCGTTGGCCAAATGAGTGATTGCCTGGCCCTTATATAGGCTGCGTTCCCTCTCGGTCTTCCTCGCTGCGTTTATAATGCCGCAAAATTTATGTATTTTTAATATAATTTATAATAACATTTTATCATCGAGTCGGGGACATTTTATTTATTTTCCCCTCTGCTATTTTTATTTTTTTTAATTTACAAAAGTGCACAGCGCTCAGCAGCCACTCGGCCATAATACTTATGTAAGCATGATATATAATGTGCCAGATATATATAATGGCATATACTATATATACTCGATTAATAAGTCAACGTGATGACACAAATGGACGCCATGTGGATTGGGCACGGTTAACTGTAGCTCGATTGAGTGCCCTGATTTATGTGCCCTATTTGGCTGAGCATTTAACTTGTAGTCTAGTGTTTGTAGCACTTGAATGCGCCACTCTCCACTTAAGTCAACTCAACTAAACTAGACTCGACTCCATTCCACTACACTCAGCTCAGCTCGTCTCGTGTTACGTTTTATGGCAAACTTGTTTATTGTCAATATTGACAATGATACACACACATTTAGAGATAAACTGCCACCCACTTGGCACATGCGGATCTTTGTGCGTGTCTTATATTATTAAAGTCCCCAAGGCACATATACAACAGCAACAATAATGCGGACTGACTGCTCACTCTGCTGCCTCTAAGGATGTTGAAGGACCTTCGGTTGCCGCCGCCGCTTCTGCTTCTTCAACTGGAGGCAGCAACCAATCGTTGCACATTACAAGTGTAATAAAATGTGAAAGGATATTATTGTATGAGCACAGTAGATGCATCTCCAAGCAGAAGACCCTTCAACAGTCTAGCAAAGAGCAGCCCAATGGACTGCGAAAGTGTATCCAGGCAACAAAAACAAAAAAAAAAAAAGAAGACTTATAAAATGCACTGTCACATTCCTTAAGAGTTGTACAGCCGCAAAAGTCAAGCAGAATAAAAAAAAAATACCTTGCACAACAGAAAGCTAAAGTAATTACATTAATTAAAGGATTAAATAAATGCAGTTTATGAAAACAACAAAAATTAAAACAAAGGCTAAACTATTATGAAACAAGTTAGAGGTTCTAATGGGGAGCACCCGACTAGGGGATACCCTGAACCCTCTTCTTCCAACATCAAATGCATATATATATATTCTATTAGTTTGGTGACTCTAGCTCTTATTATTTATTACTTGGAAACGGAGCAAGTTATCGATTATCGGAAACAAGCTCGATATGCGCAGGAACTAGGAGAATCTGCATCTAAAATTTCCCTAGCTCTTATAGGTTCTGAGATCATTGCGTTCATTAATACGGACGGACAGACAGACGGACATGGCTAGATCGACTCGGCTATTGATGCTGATCAAGAATATATATACTTTATGGGGTCGGAGATGCTTCCTTCTGCCTGTTACATACATTTGGATTTTGCACAAATACAATATACCCTTATACCCATTTTTAATGGGTTCAGGGTATAAAAATGTATGCCAACACTTAAAAGCCTTTTAAGGGCAGGTCAACTGTATATTAAATCTTTTTTAATATACCTTTATCCTTCCAACATTGTGCTCTTTCGGCAGCAATATTGTATGTAATATATTTTTTGTTACATTTTTCTTTTATTTAATTAAAAATGCCAGCATTTTTCACAACTTCATGTGCATAGATTCTTTTAGAGATACATTTTTAAAATATTTGTGCATGCTTTTGTTGTTTAAATGTTACAAAATATCTGAAAATTGCCAGAACTTGACGTCCCTAAATGTGTACACAGGTAATTGGAAAATTGCATCGAAGGCGTTGATCTGGCAGCTGATAAAAGTGCATTGAAAACCACAAAAACAACCACACTCAGCAAAAGGCAGCAGCAACAAGCTGCAACAACTTTGGACCAAGATGCATCAAGCGCAAGTGGAACACATGCTCGAGCATGAGAGCAGCTCAAGGAGCAAGCCGCAGCAAGGATACGCACATACTTGCATATAAACTAAGTGGAAGTATTTTACTTTAGACAGTCAAGCACATTATATCCTTCAAGACAATAGTTAAAGTTAACACATTCGCTTTTCAAACAGCTTTCGACCGACTTCTACTCTTCAAAGACCTGGATCAATATTTACTTTTGTTCATTTATTTAGAGAAAAGCTGTAATAATAAGTTATATATATGCCTAAATTGGCGCGAATTACACAAACAATTCAAGACTATTCACTTGACCCGGGCAAGGCCTGGTTATTTCCTGCAGTCTACTTAGTTCAAGGAGTAGGAAAATTTTGTATTTACTTTAAGTCGTTGCCTCTTTCAGTGCGTTACCGATTTTATGTTAAAACTATAATACCCTTATAAAAAGTTAAGCAACTGCAGTCTGTTTGCATGCGTATGTGGAATGTACTCTATATGCAGCATGCTATATATATATATAAAGATATGGAAAGTTTGAGTGTGTTTGCTCTGAAAGTGAATTTGGGTTGCATGGCTCGCTGAAATGCCTGCAATGGCAGCTTTTGACTTTTGGCACTGGTGCAAAGAAAAAAAGAACAGAAGAATAAGAAAACGAGAAGAAAAGCAATGAAAACAATGAAAATGTGAAAGGAAAACCAACTCTCCACTCATTAATTCTGCTTAAGAGTCAGCACCAGCTCGATGCCGATGCCGATGCCAATGCCGATGCTGGGGCTGGGGCTGGGGCTGGTGCTAAAGCTGGGGCAAAGTAAGCGCAACTAAAGTTTTGCCTGGTAATTTAAGTAACTTTGTCATTTGGGCACACGCACACACACATGCACACATGCACTACAACGGGAATGTCAACACACAAAGAGCAACACAATGCGAACTTTGGGCTGAGCGTGGGCGGCATGGGCGGCATGGGCGTGGCGGCATTAATATGCTCATGCTGCGACCTCGTCCAAGTGAAAAATCAATTTTTCCCCCTTAGCCACCTTTTCCAATGCCACATGCCTTGGCGCTTTCTTATAGCCTCATCGAGTGACAAGTTTTGTCGGTTCGCAAAAGTTTTTGCGCCATTCTTATACTTCATTGGGGTTAAGTGATTAAATTTGCACAAAAAAATAAAAGGAAAACTGTCAGCCGAGGGCAGCTGCAAAAAAAAAAAAAAACTTCAACACATGTGACACTCGGCTCGACTGCCGCATAATTGTTGCCGAGTCGAAAAACCTAAACTTTGTTGCATGCATTTTGGGGCAACGAAATTTGATTATGTTGATTATGATGACAAAGTTCCGGTTGGCAGTCAAAGAGGGGAGTCGGGTACGGTGCTGACATGGCCGGCAAATGATTTGCCGGCAACTTTGAATGGCAATTTACCCTTTTCGACAGCTCCAAGGAATTCCCAAAACTGTTGACGGCGAGGGGTTGCGGGATTGCGGGCCACCACCGGGGGCTGCTTGTTTAAGCTATCAGTCGATAAGCATGCGAAGGGCCCATTGAAGCGGGCAATGCCAATGGAAATGGCAACAGGACCGGGCACACTTCTAATGTCGGTCACTTTTGGTCTTTGGCCCAAGTTAGCATCGTCTTCTCGTTTTTTTTTTTGTAGTTGTTGTTGTTGGTCTCTTTTTTCTGGTGTTGTTGTGGGGCTGTTGTCCTCGGGGCAGTTTCAGCTTAATATCCGTTGCCATTGTTGTTGCTGTTGCTGCTGTTGCTGGTTTATTAGTAGTTCGTGCAGGATAGAGGCAGGATGTCAGGATGCCAGCACGCCGGGATGCCTGCCTGGCATGTCTGCTGGGACTGCGTCGAGCTGCCGCTGCCACATAAAAGCAGAAGCTGTTTGCTTATGTAAATGTCTGCATATGAGCCTCGCACCACATCCTGTGACCCACGTTCCATGTCCTGCCCACAGCCAGCAGCCAAGAGCCAAACAATGCCTTTCATGTTGTGCGTGTGTGTGCGTTGTGTGTGTGTGTGTGTGGCTGTGGCCATCGCCCGAGGTAGCAATATTTGTTTTCTTGCTTTCATCATTTGCATATAATGGAGCTGTAAAAGTTCATAAGATGTCCATGCAAAGCACTGCCGGGTCGGATCCTGTTGCCTGCATCGCATGCAACGCTCTCGATTGACGCCAGGAATTTAATAAGCCAAACTATGCATGCGATTTGATTTTGTAAAAATCTACAATACAATTTAAATTGATTTTCTAAATCCGAAACTAAGATCCGACAACAGGAGCTGCGCTCAAATCATTGGCCACAAAAAAAAAATGCACAACTCTTATGCGTTTACAAACACAGCTGAAGGCAAAATGAAAAAATATTTGACTATTACGAGAACTCGGGGATTCTCTTCCATTTGCAGCAAAATGAGAAAATATGCCGGACTTTTTGCGCTTTACATTCGCCGCACCTCGCCACGACTGGGATTGGGATTGGGCATGGGATTTGCACTGTGACCCTCTGGTCCCAGCGTGACTTTAATGCGCGCTGTACAGGGGCGGCCGCAGGGCGGGGCAGGCGCAACAATTACTCCAGCGCTCCCCAGGGCAACATAAAAACCAAAAAAAAAATGGAAAAACTGTATGGAAAATGAAAGGAAAACAAAAAACATCCGCATGCAGCTTTAAGTACTGACCGCCGGGCATGCTAGACTCCCCCCGGAGCCCTCGCTCACCACGCCTCGCACTCAACAGTTCAACTAGACGTTAAACTAGGCAATACTGTAGTTTTCGGTCTGCTTTCCTGTTTTCCCCTAGGTGTGTTTTCTCGGCTGGGCTTGCGTTAAAAATTGCATCGCATTAATAATTA